TAGCATTAATATGGTGTATAATGGCATATTGTGGTGCATTAACAGAGAGAGACGATGAACCACAATATTTAGCAAAGTAATTTGAATTGATATGTGAAACTTAAGAAATAGTGAGATAATATGAAGTATTCAATCAAATAATAATAGGTAAGGCATAACTACGCAAGTGAATTGGCTGATGGATGCATTCAAATATCAAATACAATAATAGGAATGTTCTTTACATAATTGATATACGCTCTAATCTTATTGATTTTGTTTCTGTTGTCAACTGTATCAATATGAAAATATATATGTAGATCTGGTTCATTCCTGTCGGAACTAAAGCAGGATTCATAGTAGGTTTATTTTTTGGATTTGCATCCATAACAATAATTGCATGGACAGCATACACATTTGCAGGTAGATCAATATGCAAAGTGATAACAACTGCAATTTAAAATAAATGGGAGCTATATGATTTTATGTACACAGTAGGTTTTGGAGTAGTTCTAATGTGCATAGCATCTATTTATTTTATTTTCTTAATATTATTCTTCTTGTTTAAGAGTTTGTAAGGATTAAGTAATGATAACAAACCATAAGATAAATTACAATTGATGGGCATATGCTGTTGTGGATATGCTTTAGGAATAATAGTTTGTGCATTTATATATAGAGAATCAACTAGTATATTGGGTAGAAGTATATTTAACGCAATTGATGGATTGATTAAATGTGATAGGAATCTAAGTTTCAATAATCCATATATTTCATCGCCTACAAAATTATTATATGTGATTTCCAACATAATTAGTACATAAATAGTAAATTTGTTGGACACAGCAATATGTATAGCAGTATTAACAGTTGGAGGATTTGTAATATTTTCTAATTCAGAGGAAGTAGCTAAAGAAAATATTACATGGAAATCTTTATTAGCTCCAACATTATATTTTTGTGTAAATGTCTTCTGTGCAGTGATTGTTTAAACAATGAAGAGCATGATTTGGGATAATGAAGTAGTGAGATTCACAAAAATGAACATCAGATAATAAGTGTTAATTACTCATTTAATGACATTATTCATATTCTTTTTCATGCCAATGGTAACGATTCTAAAACAATTTTCATTAAAAGGAATTGAAGCACCTGAAACATTGGCTAAAGAAGACATTACAATAAGAAAGATTACCTATTGTTGTATTTTGGGTCAATTAAGCAATTTAGTATTGTTATCAATAGGAGAATGGATGACATCACATGGATGCTAACCAGTTAGAAATTTGGTATCATATATAAATTTATTAAGAGGCATTATCATCATCTGAAAGAATATTAACATAATCATTTAATTATGCTACTTTTTTGAGTGCATCTGGATAAATCATCATAGTATTAACCTTAGGAATAATAGCAACAGCTGCACATGCTTTAGCAGGATATGCAGGAATCTTAGCAGCAGCAGCTGGATTTTTAATCAATGTTTTAATAATAATTCCACTTTATTATATTGGATCTATATCTTAGGATGGAGCAAAGTTATGTGCAGCATCTCACGTTACGTAAGTAGTATCAGAGAGATTTACAAAAATGGCATGGGCAGCTAGAAATTATATGATTTACTTAAAAATCACAAATGCTGGTTCAGCCATTTTATTAGCATTAACCTTTCTTGGAGGTGCTCTTTATTTATTTAAAGTCGATAATAATCCATTGATTGATTTTAATGGCATTTTTGGAATACTATTTGGAATTGGATTGGCATTCCTTATTAAGGGTATGACAGTTGGCTCTGTGATTTCAATATCTAGAATATTTGATCTTAACATTTATGAAAGTGGTATTGCAGCAGAGATAGCCAAGAGAAATAATCTCACATTAAGCAGATTTTTTGAAAGTAAACATTTACTAGCAATAATTTGGGTTTATATTATAACAATTACTGACACAATACTATTATTTATTTTTGCATATTTCTTTGGGAAGAGAGGTTCTCCAGGATTTCTCTTAGGACATACAGTAATAATACTATTTTTGATGTGTTATTCTATTATTAATGGAACTGCAATGAAATAAAGTCGTTATTATAATGAAGGTATATTATAAATTTCTATTTAAAGTCGATGATAAATTATCAAAAAGAGGAAACATTTATTAATCCTGTGTTTAAGGTGATATGTTAGCCACTGTTGTTGAAGAAAGCACTGCAATTCCTCTTATTGTTTACTTATTATACAACATAATTCTTGTTACATGTGCTTATCCATATTTTGGAGGTGAAGGGTATTCATTTAATTTTAATTTATTAGAGATTTATTTGTCGAAAAAGAAGCAGAAACAAAGTTTTTCTGAAAAATAATAAATAGAAAAAAAATCATAATCATTATTATTAATTAATTCTTTTTAACAAGCCTAACATTTCTATTTAAAATTTTTTAGCTAAATCACTTATTTCTTCTTTATTTCTTTCTATTAATTTTGTTAATTTTGACATTTAAATTATTTACTTTAATTATTCTACTATTTTATCATATTTAGCCACTCTTTCCTCTCTACTTAAATCCACTTTAGACATCTAATTGAAACATTTTATTGTTAAAATATCCTATTTGCTAAATATCAATTCTATACATCTCTATAAATTGTGAATGTTTTATAAGAAAACACAATTCCTCCCTTTATATGAGATAAGTATTTTGAATCTATTAGAACTTTACACTTCTCTAACAATTAAGGTATTTACTCTATTGGTATAGATTTAAACTTTTAACTATGTGAACACATTGTCAAAGCATCAAATAATATTGATGGTTCAGTCAATTAATTAATTGCATTAATTGCAGATTTTATATTATTATTACTCCACCAATAAATTATAGGTTTCATATAATTAATCCTTTATTTTAGTATTTAATTAACTCTGTTATGATCCTTCTATATTTCATTAATCAAGTCAATTTAAATAAATTTCATTTTGTTCTCATCATCAATTACAAAGCTTGATAAATTTACTTCATCTTAACTTGTAACTAAATCTAAGACACTTTAAACTTCTTAATTGATGAATTAGTTTTCTTTAATATCTTCTTCCTACATCACACTTTCATTAGCAATCATTTAAGGAATTTATGTGGTAGGTACAAACTTATTTCCATTATTATTACATTATTAAAATCCTTACTCTTCAATTAAATTCTAATTAAATTGTTTTTGATTATTTTAAAATATTTTTTAAGAATTCTTAGGCTTCAATATATTTACACTATTTCTCTATTGAAATTGATCATTTATCTCACAGCTTTATATTCTTTCACTATTTATTCTCTACTTGTGTCTATCGATACAGAATCTACTATCAAAATTTATATTTGATAATTTTGATCCAAATACACTTAAACCTGTTTAATTCTGAGTTGACAGACTAAATAGTTCTCTGTCTTCAAATACATATGTATCTAATATGCTTTTACATTAACTTTCGATGTTATCTAATAATAAAGCATCCCTTTCTAAATCCCAACATTTAAATGAAAAATTTTATGCTGATAATAAGGATTTGCCTTCATTACAAAATCTGATTGAATAAACTGTCTATTTATCTGGTTTTGTTGAAGATATCTGATTAAATAAGATTAACATTATTACTTAATTATATTTATCTAAATCCCAATATCTTATGCACCCATCATCTGAGGCAGTGGCTATTGCTTTATCAAAAGGATTAAACTACAAACATGTTATGGAAGAATCAGATTCGTTAAAAGTAGCCATCAATTTTTATTAATGAATATCCCAAATTTTCACACTTCCATCATTTGAACCAGATGCTAATAATTTACCATCTGGTGACACAACTAATGCACTAATTGATAAAGTATGTGCTCTTAATGTAAATCCAGCTATTTTAGACCTTGAATCCCATAGTTTTACTTAACTATCCATTGCACCACTTAATATAATATTTTCTTGATTTGGAAATATAGCTAAGGCTGTTATTGAAGATAAATGGCCTTTTATATTAGATTAAACTAAATTTATAGAAATCAATCATACTCTTTTAAGTTGAGATATCCAAAAATGTAATAATTCCTTTACTTGATCCATTAATGATTTCATTTTCAGAACTGCTAAATATGATGCTTGAAATTTCATTCTAACTTTAAACAAAGTACTGTTAAAATGGGTTGAATAATTTAACATCTAAAAAATTTTTTGAATTTTCTATCTTATTTATGTAAATCTAATTCATGTCATCAACATATGTAAAGAATCTTGTGGCAGTGTCTGAAAAACGAGCTAATTTAATTTTTGATAGATTCTCAATTTCACCTACACTAAATTTATTATTGTTACCTAATTTCAAGTTTCTATTCATTTAATTTAAATAATATTATTGTTAAGCACTCTAATTATTTTATCGTTAATTTATGAATAACGATTTATGCCTATTGATTAGATAAGTTAGAATGCCAATGAGAATACAAATTTTCAAATAGAAGAAATAACCTGTATTTCACAAAAAAACTTATACAATTCCTGACAAGATTTATACTGATAAAGAAATCATGGAATTGTATTTATTAAAAACTATTTAGATATTATAAAACTTTTATCAAAGTAGAGATTGATGATACCTTAGCTTTAGAGATCATATAGAAAGATGACTTTATTAATTGTAATATCAATATCAGATTAGGGACGTTAAATATAAATTAATGATGATTTAATCAATAGAAGAGATTAATTAGATTATCATTAATAAAATATATGATGATTACTAAATCCTTTAATTAGAATTTAAGATGCAATAAATAAGACAAAAAATGAGTGATACATTGCATAATTTTACTAGTAATTGTTAAAATTTACAATAAAAACTGTAAGAATAATGAACTATTTTGCATTTTTACATGATCATATATATACTTATGATAATGCTATGAAAGAATTACAACTATACATAGATTTGGATTTCTGTTAATAAAAATGCATAAGAAAATCATAATAACAGAACAATCTCATTTTATCAATTTATCGACTGTATTTCTTAACTCTAAATGTTGTTTTATAATCGCATCCTTGAACATCTCCTATTATGATTTTAACTTTTTCAATTTTTGCTTCTCACTTATAATCTTTTACAACCATTTTTCTTGTTATTGCTTAAATTTAAAATATATATATACTTCATGTTCTTAATTAATTCGTGTTGTTCTTTACATTCTAAGCTTCTCTCTTTCATCAATTTCTCTTATCCTATCAGCAGAAAGCATTGTTAATGTTTTGTTTTCATTAATTAAATCATCTTGTTTTTCTAAATTATAATTAAATTATACATTCTTCTTATGATCTTATTTCTTCTATTTTTGAATTAAACTCATTTAAAATCTTCCTTTTGTTCTTTTAAACTATTTATTATTATTTTTCAAATTTTAGTTTTAAATCATGTAAACGTTATGCTCTTAATTACATTTGGGATTCCACCATTTTATTACTTTAATCAGCAATCTAAATAAAGTATTATAACCTCTATTAATCTTTTTCTTGTTATTTCTCTGCTACTTTTTTATTTGCAATTTCTATCTTCTTTTGTTATTCTATTTTTTTTAATTTCATTATATTTCGTATTTTTTTCAAACAATTCTCAGCCATTTGCGTTTTTTCTAAGTTTCTTTCAATAATTTCTTCAACTTCTTATTCTTCTAATTCTTTAGCTCTTTATCTTTTAGCATCTCTCTCTTCCTGTCTCTTTTTATTTCTTTCCATATTCTCTTATAATTCTTATTGATAAGACTAATTTAATTAGTTTCTGTTGAGTTCAGATTATTCAAATTTATGCTTTATTTATTCTTAAAATTATAATCTATGTTCTTTATCCTCCTTTTCTAATTTTTCTATTTTATCTAAAGTTTTCTTGTGTCTTTATTTTTATGATTGCTTTCGTTTATTCTGCTCTCTGAAAATAGAAATAATTATATTACAATCGATGTAATTCCTTTACTTTCTCTACTTTCTTAGCGATACTAGGGATTGTGGATGAGTAATATTGTTGCAACTTTTAATTCTATTCTTCATCAAGTTGCTAATGTTTTCTAAGAGTATTGAGATATTAAGTATTTCTTTTAGTTATTTATTCTAATTTATCATCAAATGATTGCTATAAGAAATCCAAACTTCGTGTATTAAAAGATTTGGATAGAATTTATGAATTTCTTTGATCAGTGACAAAGAGAGAAGATGGTTATTAAGTTATTGTACTATTGGTATTGAAATTATTGTTTCCTGTATTATTTTTATTTATTTTTTTCAGTCTATTTCTTAAAGAAACTATTTGCAACAGCTTTCTTGATTTTCCTTATAAATATTCCATATAATCTACCAAACATTTTATTGGATGATCAAAATCACTTTAAAAATCGAAAAATGACATTACGTGACACCAATCTTCTTATACTTCCATTAATTATAATGCTTCTTTAGTGCGTGGAGAATTTATATTCAACTCTATTTAAAATATAGATAATTTGTTTGGATCTCTTAAAATTTTATCTTTCTTATCATATGATAAAAAATTTAGACCAATAGCTTCGTCAATTAAATTATTGGAAAAAACTGGATATTTTCCTTTTGTAACAAAAAATTCTTTAATTATCTATGCTCGTTGACGTGCTGTTAGTTTTAATTTAGGAGAGCCTTATTCTGATACTAGTCTGGAATCTTATTAACTATCCATAATTTTATTTCAATTTGATATTAATAAATTATTAGAAAATATTTTAAAAAGCCAGAAAGAATTTTTAAAAAGCACCTACTTATCACATTCTTACCTAACATATACATAATTAGAAGTACTCTCAATATTCAAAATTCTAAGGTTAAAAATGTAGTTTTCTTATCTCTAATTTTAGAATACAAATAAAAATATTATTTAAAGTAGTGGATAATTAAGATTAAACAAAAAAAAATGATATCATTTAATAAATTGGATATTATTAAAGGATTCAACTGATATTATTTTGAAAATAATAATACAATTTATAATATGAATTATTAATCTTACATGAGTACAGTATATCAAATGAGAAATTTCATTGCTGTTGTTATTCAATTTCATGTAAAATAATTGTGCCAACACTAGTACCAATATAAAATTTCCAATTATCTTTGAGAAATTAGATGACAGTAATTGGATTATCTTTATTCAATTCTTAATATTTAATCCATCTACCTTTGGAATCTAAACCAAATAAGATCATCTTATTATCTAATCCTCCAGATAAAAATGCTGCATAAGTTGGATGAAATGCCAGACTAAACACATAGCTTTAATGATCCTTAATTTCTTAAATTAATTCAAATTAATCCCCATATTTTATTTCCCATAATAGTATTGATTTATCTTCTGAACCTGTAGCTAATAAGTTTTAATCAGCTTTAAATGCAACACATTATATAGCTGCTGTATGTTTTGACAGTATTTATGTTAAATTCCAAATATCAGTAAATTGACATATAGCAAGTGATCCAGATCTGCTTCCAATTCCTAATATATCATCATGAATAGCCATGCAAGTGACTTAACAATCATTAATGTCAACTGTTTAGATGCTTTTATAATTTGAATGTAATCGATTATTTCTTCTCTTGCTGAAAACCTTTAAAGTTTTATCATAACTTCCGGTAACAAATGTTTCAAAATGTGTGATTACAGACCAAATTTCTCCCTGATGTTGTTCCTTTAACGTTTAATCCACTGTCCAATCAGTTCCATCTTTTTATTTCCAAATTCTAATACTCTAATCTGCATAACATACTATTAGTTCTTCATCAAACAAAGTAACACATCGAACAAATTAATTCTCATGTTTCAACTCTTTAAACTTTCCACCTGACCATATTTTTATTATTGGACTAAAACTCGAAGAAATAAAGCTACTTTGACTTTAATCTGTTTCAATGATATTTTTAATCCATTCAATCCCTGTCTTAGCTTCATATTTTGTGCTCTCTTTTATGACTATAGACTAATTTCCAATCAATTAATGTTATTTTTTGAGTAATTTTCTCTTATTCTAAAAAGATTCTGAAGTATCAAGTTAAGTTTTATCTTTATTAGCAATATATTTAGATCTTAAGACAAAATTATCCCCTATCTTAATGAATTTATTTGAAAGAACTGTTCCTATTGTTATTATGTCTTTCACTGTCAATGCTCGATCCCCACCATTTAAGCATTGATCGATCAAGCTTACTAAAGCTTAATCCTTTAATATATCATCATCATTTTAAATCATTCTAAGCATTACGATAGCTCTGTCTATTGATATTGGTACCATAATTGCTTTTTAACCACACATTTCACATAAAGCTCTTTAAGATGGTAATAAATTTAAATCTAATCCTATTTAAACAATTTATCTTTCATGTTCGATACATTTTATTTTAGAAAGTTGATCTTTCAAGGTTTGTTTATTTTTCATTATTTTATTATAAAATTAAATGAATATTCACAAATTCAATACTTATCTAATCAAGTATTATTTTATAAAATATATCAATTTATAAGAACTATACATTTTCCTTTAATGGTCTTTTATACCAATTCTATTCCATAATTTAAATTTGAATAGTGGGAGAATCAATATCTTAATTCCTAATCCAAAATAATATTGTTTGCAGAAAATTATTAATTATTAAACATCAATAAAGAATCAAAACTCTAATTATTTAAATATTTTGATCAGCAATTTTCAATTCTTATTAATAAGAAAACTATAATTAAAATAGTTAAATAGAAAAAAAAAAGCAAATTTTTAGATTGATTAATTTAATATTTATTAATATATAATTTTTTTTTTAGAATTACAAACAAAACTAAAGTATCTTATAAAACTCGCATTTATTAAAAGCGCAAAAGTGTAACACCTCTTAAGAACAAGTATCACAAAGCTTGACTAAGAAAAATAATAATGGGAATTGAAATTAATAATGAATCAATAAAACCCATTAAGGAATATAAAAACAGTAAAACGATTTTAAAATCTTTAATCAGCATTTGCTGAAATGTATGATCGATTAAACCAAATTCATTTAAAGAGATTGATAACTCAAACCACACATATTATGACTTTAGGAAGTGAGGAATAAGGCATAATAAGATACAGTTATATACTAATACTCTTATGAAAAAAAAAGATAGGGATAATTGGGGGGAATTTTATTAGGAATTCATAAACAATCTCATAGCAGAGATATAACAAAGTACTTTTTTGATGAATAGAAGGAAAACTTATTTAAACACACCTGATCTCCTTTTAATTCACATTGTGAACTCAATCATAGAATTTATTGTAGTAAATGTTTACTTTCACAACCAAAATAAATTTATTTAATTTAAATAATCATTTCTAGAAATTTTAAGTTTAATCCTTGGAAATCAATTGGAAAAATAATCAAAAAATAGTGATATGCGGAGACTTTAACCCTCAATTATCTTGGATTTAAAGACCTTTTGTAAAAGAAAATAACATTCAGAAGATAACAATAAAATTATTTAATATAATCTTAAACTGATCATTTCTTAGTCCTTAATGCATTGTAGATGCAAAAAATACTGGATATACTTTTCTGATCATACAAAAAATTAAAATTTATCTAGAAAATTAAACAACAGGTCCCAACTTAAATCTGAATTGGTAATATCTAAAATTAAGGCTAATTAACAATGCCAAAACTCTTAAATAATTTTGATATTTAAGATTTCTATGCTTTTATAAATAATAAAAAAGTCTACAAAATAAGAATTCAACCTATTAAAAATCAAGATGTCAAGAAGACTTTATAACAAATCTTTAAGCTTAACTAGAAAATAGCAAATAAAAGTTTTTTTAAGACAATAAGGAACTCAGTAATTCTGCACTAACAAAGGAAAGATGGAGGAATTTTTATTATAATTTGATAAACATAATATTAGAACAGGTTAAGATATCTTTACTAAATGCATATTCAATATTAAGTATCCTATCACAATAAGAAGCTTATAGACCGATACCTATTCCATAGCTTCCTGAAGAAGTTAAAGAATTGTAAAATAGATGGCTATCAATAAAGCAATTTCATTTGATGGCATACTACATACTTTGTGAAACACTACCATTGGAGAATCCTAAGGGACATATGGAATGAGGGAACTTTTCAAGCAAACCCAAAATTTGGGTGGGCGAGGCTACTTCCTTTAAATAAAGCACACCCAGCCATTCCCAGGAGTGAATAATTCCGTACTCTAGTAATACTCAGTCCACTATCCTAGTTTTTGAACATCGATTCAAATAAAAGCTGCAATTAATTTGAAAAGATATAATGTTAAAAACAATAAACTGGTGTTATTAATAGTTTAGGAACGCAAGTCAATATATATTTACTAATAAATGGATGAAAAAATACAGAGGGAAAGATATGGAGTATTTAATATTTATTGATTTCTTAAGTGCTTATAACACAATCAGTAGGGAAATGATCGATAGAATCCTTGAGGAAAAAAGATTTTAACTCAATTAGAAGTTAAATTGTTATAGGCTATACATATTAGAATCCCTTATAACACTTATGAAACAAAATACAAGGTTTACTTTAGGTATGGAGTGTCCCAGGGGTCACCGATTTCTTCATCCTTATTTAACATATACATGGATGAATTTCTAAAGAGGCTATTTCGAAAGATTGATTTTAAAATCAACTTTTTAGAATATGCAAATGACATCGTTTTTTTATCTAGATAAAGCACTCAGTAAATGGAGCTTGAAAGTAAATAAAAGGAAATGCAGCATCTTGCCAAAAAAAACATAACATCTAAAAGGATAACATCCTAAAATACCCTGTTATAAATCATCTGTTTCTCACTTCAGATGATGCAATTGAATCTTTAACACTGGGCCATATAAGCAAAGGGGAAAAATGTAAATTTAAAGCATTCTTGAAAGCCTTAGATTGCAAAGCAACTTATCCGAGAAAAAAGAATGATTTAAATAAGTTTATATATTCCATGCTAGGGAGTAAATAAAATAATAATAACATCGGTATAATAAAATTAAATAATGATAGAGATATATTTATCCGTTTTATCTCCCAAATAAGTGTTGAATAGGTTTTGTGTATATTTCCATTGCCATTTAAAAAAAATGAAATAAAGATTTATTAATTTTATAATTGTTATGATAATCTATAAATTATAATCAAATAAGAGTTTTAAATCAATAAACTTAACTGTTTCAAAAATATCATTCAAGAAGATAGATATTGATAAAAACCACATCATATGGTGTTAAAATTAAAAATTAATACAGCTTATAAAAATGTTAAATATATTAGCTTCTTTATATTTANCTGGATATACTTTTCTGATCATACAAAAAATTAAAATTTATCTAGAAAATTAAACAACAGGTCCCAACTTAAATCTGAATTGGTAATATCTAAAATTAAGGCTAATTAACAATGCCAAAACTCTTAAATAATTTTGATATTTAAGATTTCTATGCTTTTATAAATAATAAAAAAGTCTACAAAATAAGAATTCAACCTATTAAAAATCAAGATGTCAAGAAGACTTTATAACAAATCTTTAAGCTTAACTAGAAAATAGCAAATAAAAGTTTTTTTAAGACAATAAGGAACTCAGTAATTCTGCACTAACAAAGGAAAGATGGAGGAATTTTTATTATAATTTGATAAACA